AATGCATGATTTGAATTTTGTAATAGTCGTCAATTTTCATATTATCGACCACTATTTCGATCATGTTTGCTTTTACAGAGGATGGTTTTCTAATTAAGACTCAAATTCACGATAGGATATCTCTTCTTCTACTTGTTTGAATATAAATCAAATTTTGAAAATTGTAGATGTTGCTTTTCTTTGCATTTTAAGAATGCTTGAATTCGATTGTTCTAAAAATGGAGGCAGCAGTTGCAAACGAAGTTGATCTACGCATTTAGCTTCTTTTGAATGGTCTTTCATTCCGCGCTGTCACTAAATTTCTCATTAAAAATGAAACTGAAGTTTTCGAGTCTACAGTGATCAGAGTTATTGGTAACAAAATGAAAAAGTGACAAGCGAGTGCTTTTGGTGAGTTGCACCCAATATTTCCAAGTGCACTTAAATCTTGGAGTAAGAAGAAGATAAGAAAAGTTAAGGAAATGATTAGAAAAGAAAATCCATTTAATAAAATAACACAACGTCTAAGTATATTTCAGTTCATGTTAACACCATTATACATGAAAATCTGCAAGCAGCTACCAAGAAAAAAGCGTCTGCACTTCGCCTCACATCTGCACAGAAACAGAACCGAACGACTAGCACAAAAAAAGATCTACGAGAGGCTCTGATTATGATTAACAAAAATAATTCTTTAAAAGTTTACTTAATTATAAACCAATCACAAGAAAATTAATGCAAAGAAATGAACACATTAAATACACGTAGATATAAATTTTAACACTATCCAATGGTAGTGCTTTATGGTCAGGCCAATTCTGATGGGTAAAGGGGAGACGAGACTGTTCTAATTACAGAAAATTATAACATTTCTGATCGTGCAATTTTCCGAGAAGATAAAATATTAATTATTCATATGACAATAGGTATTAATAATTCACTATTGCACAATTATCGTTATTACACAAATCATGAGAATTTTAGCCTGAAGAAAATTAAGACTTCATAAAATTAAAATACAGAAAGAGTTTAAATACCATATTGCTGGAAAACTAAAAAGTTCTCTCTTTATGATAAAGTAACTGCATATATTTCTATGATTTATTATAATGATTATTCGAAAAGTAAGTGCGAAATTATACTTGTTGTTTCAAAACGTATAATATTCAGTTTTGGACCGGTAGTGTTTTTTTAGTAAAATATATAGATCGAAGTTAATGAATGATATCTTTCTGCTGACCAGCTAAGCCGATATAATGCCTTTTACTTTAAAGTTGAAAGTGAAATAGAGATTTGGTAAATTTTCATAATATTTTGTAAAGAATTGAATTAGGCAATAATTAAATTTTCACGTTATACATGATATGAAATTACATATATCCTTACTTAATACTCTGATATAATTTGTCAATTTATTAAGTAAAATATAAAGTTATAAGTTTATGTCATAATCTGAAAAATATACTTTCAAGTTTACCTAAATTATTGTATTAATTTCATATTTCGTATTTTAAAGGGAAAAAAATACTTGAAAAATTTGTTTCGTATGATTTCATATCAAGTTTCGTACGAAGAAGGATTATTGGTGAGTTTAAAATTTGTATTTCAAATATCTAAATGAAATATACCTGAAATAATCTTAAATATGAAACATTTCGTTCTAATGATATTTTTTTGTGTAATTTGTATTTTTTACAGCACTTAATTTTATTCTGTCTATTATCATATATAAGTTGGGGCATTCCAATGGGTGGCTTTTATCGCTTTAAGAAGTATTCTAAGAAAGCTAAAAACCTTATATCAATCGAACTATTTGCAATCCTTATTCGGTCATTTTTACAGTACTTTATTGCTTCGCATCGAAGGTGCAAAATTTCTCCTTCTTTCTCGTATCTCTTGTTTGTTTTATTGTTACGGCAACGCAACACTTGGGTGATCTGCAGTCCGGGAGGACAAAGCAGAAAGGACGACCAGTGAAGATGACAGCCAACCGCTCTGACACCGGAATCGAATCCAAACGGGTCGAAAAATCCTCAGAATTTTTCGGCGGTAGTCCGTCCTGATCGATCGGGCAATGTTTCTCACCCGAATTGTGAGCATGGCCGAATCCATAATGGGCTTGCAAGAAGAAGCCATTTTACTGCCAACAGGGCGAAAAAAAAAAAAAAAAAAAAATCTGTTCATAGGTGATTCTGCGTTATTTTTAAAAGTAGTAGGCCTATCTTTATTTGCATACCTAGAAGTTCTGCTCTCTCTGGTATGATACCTTTTCTACTTTCCCCGCATTTTTCGTTTTTTATGTTTTTTTTTCAGTCTATTTCGTTCTTACTGCAATCCTTTGTACATTTTAATGAGTTAAAACTATTATAAATATTGACGTTTAGATACAATTCAAAAGAAGTTTCTCATATTAAAAACACTGTTGATTGGTTTGTGGTAAGACATTAAACGTATTTTATAAAAAATGAGTAAAACTTTATTCACTGCTTTATTGTATCGATGAAATAAGAAAATTGCAAGAACATTTCTATTCTGTTAATTATTTAAAAAGTTGTTTCTTAAACATTTGTATGTCCAGTCTCTAACTTTATCTGTATTTTAGATACAGTTTTAAGAGACTTGACGTAAACTATTTTGCTGAAAGTACTAATAGAAGTTCTGTGAACAACTGGAAAACATGCCAATGGATGTTTGATTGTGCCTACAATAGATATATATTTACACATATATTTTTACTGTTTTGCATTTCTTAGCATGAAATTATTTACATTAGCTGAAATGTATAAATTGTTTATGGTATTGTTAATTATTACTATTTTTGAATATTATGAATATCATCATATTATGAATATTATGAATATTTTGAATACTGTATCATCATTAAAAACAATTGTTTAATTTAATTTTTCAGTTATATTTAATTTTGTATAATAATTTATTATATATAAGTTTTTATTTCATAAAAGCAATACGTCGATCAAAAACGGATATGTATGATTATTTTGTGTTTTATGTAAATAATTTTATGTTAAAGATGCAAAATCTTTAATTTTTATAATATGTTTTTAAAAGCATATCGTATTTAATAAATTTGAATTTTACGAAAAATTTGATTTTCGTGTATTTTTTTATTTTTAAAGCTGGATATTATGATAAAGAAATGTAATCCTCCATTTGGCTTAACTTTATTTCATAAATTCGTAGTCACCAAATACACAATTTTTCAAGTAAGTTTTTTGTATTTGTGTAATTATAAAATATTGAAGATTTTAATATAACAATAATAACATTTTTCGTTAAACAATTTTCTGAATTTAATTTATGTATATATGTGTATATATATATATATAGAAATAATAATAATACGTATATATATACCTATTATTATTATTTCTATTTTTATTTTTTATTGAAATCTAATGTTTCATCAATGTGAATTGTAAGTTCATTGATTAAATATTGCTTTTGAACAGCCTTGCAGCGTATTTCTCTCGATTCATTTTTTCTTCCTGCAACTGAGACTATTGGAGACAGAAGATTTAAGGTAGTTTATTCTTTTCAATTTATTGATTAAAATATTAAAAAGTATAAAATTCCATTTCATATCGATAAATGAAGTGATAATGATGATGTAGTTCCAACGTATACAAAAGGCCATTTTTGGAGTTTATAAACTCTTTTGAGTCTGGAGAAAAAAAATGGAGTGTTTTGGTTTGTTAAATTTTACTCAGGTATGGACCGGTTAAAAGCTATTTACAGCTGCAGAATCATATGTGAACAAGTAAACAGGTGGGAGGATGACAACCCACATTCGGCTCAAGCGGACTTAAAAGAAACCTTCTCTCGGTGAACAAATCTTTCTGATTGGTCAAAGTTTGGTTCCCAAAAAACATTGAAACCGTGGAGAGGGTCGTATAGAAAGGTGTAGAGGATAAGGCTCGGAGCTGAGAGCATTGGATCTCAGATACTCTGCAGGATCGCTGAGGATAGGGAGAGAGGTTTTACTCGTGCAGAAAGGAATCTCAGTTAAGGATGAAGTTTGAGATCGGATGAAAGCGGCAGATAGAGCCAATCCGTGTTCCAGAAATTATCAGAGGCACATTCGATCCTCGATAGTTCCATACTAACTTTAATTCGTTAGAGATTCATTAGGTACAATGTGGTGACGTGATGAACTGTATACCTTTCTTGTATATAAACCGTATATACTGAGATGAGTTGAATGTAGAAGTGTATTTCAACGGAGCTGCATTTCTAACATCTCGAGCCATGCTTACTCAGTTAATCTGTTTGAGGAGACGGAAGATAGAGTGAAACTTATACTTAAAGTCTAGAAAATTTGGAGTAGATTAGTTCTTACGAGTAGAAAAATGTTCTTAGAGTACATTAGAGTACATTAATGCAATATTTCTCAAAGTGGGTTCCTCAACTGAAATTTTAGGGCACCTCGAATCTTTTAAAACGTTTTAAAGTTAACGAATCGAATGCATTATTTGTTTATTGTATAACTATTTTTAAGCGAACAGTTATTTGTTTCAGTCGGCAATAGTTTCCATTTGCCTTTGTCACGCATCATTCGTGCAACCGACATTTATTCGAATTATAAATATAAAATATATATAATTATAAATTTATTAATAAACAGTTATAAACAATTACATATAATTTAATTTAATCATTCAATAAAATAAAATAAAATATAAAACAAAATCAGGTGGCCTTGAACTTTCTCTCTCAATTGTCAACATTTATTGCAAAAGAGGCCGATGATTTGTGAGAGCGGGAGTTGGCAGTCAGTCTTGGAAAAGAGAGGTCACACTTTTGTGCGTTTTTCGATGTTTTAGATTTTTCAGTAGTCAAATACACTCTTAACAAATGCTCCATCATATATACTGATGGCTCCAAATTAAAAAATGCTGTAGGAGCTGCTTTCTGTCACATCAAGGACAATAAAATACTCTAATGCTCGACATTTAAGCTAAAAAATCACTGCACAATAACACAGGCAGAAATACTAGCCATTAACCACGAACTAAGATACATTCTAAAATATAAATATAACGACACACTCATATGTACAGAATCAAACGTATCAATTAAAATTTATGCACACCTAAAACTATAAGTCTCTTAAGGAACGTTTCCCGATTGGGATCCCTTTTCCCTGCCCCGCCAAATTGGCACCACAGGGTTTAGAGACTATGTCTTTTCCTTCGTCATTGACTTACGGCGATTCTGCCGCTAAAACCTATAAACGACAAAGCTTTGGGCCCTGCCGAACGTCCGGTTTCCCGTCCGCGGGGCTAGGCCCTAGCTCGCTAACGTGACATAGTTTTAGGTTGTGCAGTTGATGCTGCACTTTAATCCACTGACTAATTCATTCCACAGACTAATTTATAGTTTATTTATTATTCACATGAATCATAAGTTCATGATCATTTCCATCAGTTTCTCTAGTTTCTTTAAGTTTCCTTTACTAGCTGCTAGCGTTCGAAGTACTTGTTCAGGCGGCCGAGACCAGTCGACTTGGTCGGCCCCTCGGCGGAAGTCCTCAGTAAGAGGACAGTCAAGTACATAATGTCTTGCGTCTCCGCAAGAGCTGCCACAGGAGCAGCTACCGTCTCCCTGCCCGAAGCGGGACTGGAAGCGGGGAAACTTCCCGTGGCTGGTCAGTATCTGAGTCGTGAGCCTATTGCACCACACCGGAGCGAGGCCAACTACAGGCACGAAGGCGTAGGTTGACCTACCTACCGTACTTTGATTCCAGCGCTCTTGCCAGGTGGTCATCGATCGTTTCAGCAAGGTTCCCTTGATATAAATAGCCGAGGGTTCGACCGTCCTCGTTATAAAAGGACCGCTAGCTCCCGCCTTTGCTAGCTGATCGGCACGCTCGTTACCCAGGATCCCGGTGTGGCCTCGGACCCAACACAGGGTAACTTGTCGCTCGTACCTAAAACTATACTACAACACTTACCTATTCTTCAAAGCATGTTACACCAAACACAACACACAAATCTCTTGCATAAAAAGCCACTCGGTTGTGGTGGCAATGAGCTTGCCGACTTGTTTGTCACAACCGCTTATCTAAATGATACAATTAAGTACAGTGACACACCTGTGGCATTCGTTCGTTTGCATCTCCAACATTGGTCAATCAGGGCATGGCAAACTCGTTGGCAAGAAGGACAGATTACATAAATGACAGATTACACACAAGTTCTTCCCGAAAGTAGAAAGTAGACACAACTGCAAAATTATAACCCACGATTTTCGGCTAACACAAATACTTACGGAACATGGTAAATTTAATAATTACCTAACTAGATTCAAAATTATAAATCAACCGAACTGTAACTGTGGAGATAATGTACCCGACACTGTAGAACACATAATATATGACTGTGCCCTTTTTTGACCCTTGGCGGAGGCAGCTCATTACACACTTCAGAAACAAATTGATTACCTGGCCCGTGGCACTAAGTGAACTCACACAGAACGAAGACGATCTTAAAATCTTCAAACGTTGTATCATAAAAAGCTTCAACAAATATGGACCGAACTAGACAAGTAACCCTTTCTCCTATCCTTACTCAACTTTTGTATACTATACTGCACTTTGTTCTGTCCTGTTGTTCTGCACTTATTATTATTCATTTTCATCGGGAAAACATTTCAAAGTGTCATTTCTATTCTATTTATTTATTGGGGCGCTTGTGGATACACAATACTTTTTGTTTTTCCGTCTGGTGCGTACACGAATAAATCAGAAG